ACAGTAGCTACATATTCACATCATTCCTCAATGACAAAGGCTGAAATGAACCATCGTGGTAACCCCCCCACCCCACTTTTTCGAAAGATACAATGGGTTCTTTAAAGTGCACACGAGCCAAATGTGTACACGGGACCTCCAATTTTAAGACTGTTCTACCAACCGAACCATGGGCAAGGAGATGCTAGAACCAGCGTCGATGTTAAGGCTGCCTTAAACTGCACATACAATAAGTAACAAGGTTGGAGCTGAGTTGGTAGTGTTTAGTTGTATTCCAATCCAAATTCTGGAATTCCATCCCTCATACCAGGATTTGATTTGGTGCGTGTTACGCTGGATATGAAAATTACATACAATAAAACGTATAAAGGAAGGAACTTATACAACAGGTACTACTACATACAAGTAGTTGTGAAGTAATTTTGATGCAAATCAACAAATTTCTATAATAGATTCTTCATTGGTAGTCAGTCAAGCAAGAGGAATTATAGCTGAAATGAAAGAACACCGGAAAAAGACATCCGCCCACAAAACAGAAAGGCATTGTCTTCCAAATGTGGAAGGATGTTTATTGCGTTCAATGAAATTATGATAGAAAAAAAAAGGTCTGTTCAGATTTTTGGAACAATTCAAGCTCTTTATCATTAGGTTAAAACTATCAAATCCCACAAAGGTGGGCTATTGAAAATTTGAAGGTCAAAGAACCTATAGACAGTCTATTGTGTTCCTGAAACGTTTCCATGAGATGAACATTTGTAATATTAAAGATTTATTTGTGAGTACTCATATTTTTTTTTTATAAATCAACAATATTTATAATAATAAGAGTGCACTATAAATTCTTGAACAAGCAAAATTCACTAAAATGAGAGAAAAGGGCTCCAAGAAAAAAGATATCGGCCTCGACGACGAGAATGATGCTGTCTGTCAAATGTCCCTGGATGTTGATTGAAAATATGAGAACAAAAATGGTGGAAATTCTATTTGCAATATGAGAATAATAAATCATATGGTGGAAATTTTCTATCTTATAATGATTGACAGCTTGTTGACAATTTGAAGGTCACTTGTAAGGAGCATTTTTATGCAAGTTTGAATAGCGAATTATGGACAAGTATCACATCCACTTTATTAATTAAAAACATTGAATTTACCACGATTACGGTGTTGTACAAGACTCAACGGTTCATACTGTTTGTCGTTTTTGAAAGACACAATACGCAAGCAGCTTGATGGAACAGCAACAGGAAAACAAGAATCTTTAAAAAGGACTTTCAAAAGTGACTTAAGGCATCATTATTTTAAGCTCTTATTTTATTTTATTATTTTGTTTTTAATGTAAATTGTATTTTAGTTAAATATGTTCTACTTTTTAATCCAAAAATTGTTGTACTGAGTGCCCCAAGGGCGACCAGTCCACTTGACTGATTGGCCCACCTTGGTTAACAATGAATGAATGAAATGAATGAATGGATGGATGCCAGGGGTGGCGCCAGGGTTTGCCCGATGGGGGGGGGGAGGAGCCGAGGTCCCTGACGGTGGGGCAGATGCCCCCCAAGAGGGGTCAGATTTCCCTGACGAAAGTAATGTGGGCGTGGTTGAGCTTCAATTAAAAGGTTTCAAAAGAGGTCCAGGGGGCGAAGCCCCAAAAATTTTAGCAATTTAGGGGTTTCAAAGGCTTATTTAATCAATTTTAGAGTCTACAAATATGCAGAAAATACATATAATTTTTTTTCTCCCCAACGAATCGTGCTTTTTCTCCCCGACGGGGGGACACCCCACAGGAAAACAAGAATCTTTAAAAAGGACTTTCAAAAGTGACTTAAGGCATCATTATTTTAAGCTCTTATTTTATTTTATTATTTTGTTTTTAATGTAAATTGTATTTTAGTTAAATATGTTCTACTTTTTAATCCAAAAATTGTTGTACTGAGTGCCCCAAGGGCGACCAGTCCACTTGACTGATTGGCCCACCTTGGTTAACAATGAATGAATGAAATGAATGAATGGATGGATGCCAGGGGTGGCGCCAGGGTTTGCCCGATGGGGGGGGGGAGGAGCCGAGGTCCCTGACGGGGGGGCAGATGCCCCCCAAGAGGGGTCAGATTTCCCTGACGAAAGCAATGTGGGCGTGGTCGAGCTTCGATTAAAGGTTTCAAAAGAGGTCCAGGGGGCGATGCCCCAAAAATTTTAGCAATTTAGGGGTTTCAAAGGCTTATTTAATCAATTTTAGAGTCTACAAATATGCAGAAAATACATATAATTTTTTTTCTCCCCAACGAATTGTGCTTTTTCTCCCCGACGGGGGGACACCCCCCGCTGGCGCAACTCCTGATGGAAGCATGGATGGATGCATGATTGATTGATTGATTGATTGAATGAATGAATGAATCAATTAATCAATTAATCAATAAGTGAATCAATTAATCAATCAATCAATCAATCAATGAATAAATCAATCAATAATACAAATAAAATCTCTATGGTTCAACTTCCATCCCTCGCTGTGCATTTCACTTTTGCCCTTCAGCAGGGCTCTTCTTCTGTCCACTAAGGATTATAAATGGAAACCTAGTGGGGTTCCCCGGCTCCTGTACTGATTACAGCATGTGAACCCAATAACTGGGAAAAAAATAATAATAATTATTTGTGATTTGTATAGCGCCTCCCGTTGAACCAAGCTCAAGGCGCTTGACAACAACAAAAGAATAACGGACAAGAAATTATACCATGAACCTAGACTCACAGAAAAACAAACAAAAACATTTTACAGTATATTAGAAAAAAGGTACTATATAAATTATAAACTAATAATTAAATATTACTTACTTGATATTCAATACAGACTTATCAAAGCAAAATGCATATGAGCACCTCGATGGGATCTAACAATTTATAATATATTATAATAGCTTTGTTATGCTGTTCTCTTTATGTCAACATCCATCACAAGAAGTTTCATTAAAGAAATCAAACCCACATAAATTTGATCCATTTTGAATACTCAAACCATGATTACAAAACAACTATACTTAAATCTTAATTGCGTGGGCCAGATGAACCTAGAAACGACAAAGTGCATTTTACATATGATTTGCGAACTGTTACTAAATATTAGCTTTTCGAATGGTAATTTTCCCTTTTTACATGCTTGACACCAATTTTATTTTACATCAATTAAAGACAATAAGACTAGAAAATTCAACATTTCAATTATAAAACCAAATAAGATACTAACTTGAACTTTCCAGCATTTTGGTAATTTTGTTTGACATTATTATTAGCCCATATATTATTTATATTGTAGTGTTTATGTTAAAATGGATGAGTGAGGTTCACAGACTTTTTGTTATAGTGATTAGTTCGTTTTTGTGTCCCTGCCTGTATATGTATACCACCATTGTGTTGTACTTTGTTTATATAAAGAATATTAAATAAGAACAGAGAGAGCAGCTTAGCTCAGTCGGCTAATCTTGTGGTAGCCACTGTGTGTGCGCTGAACCGTGGAGATCTCTAGGTCCCCGGTTCAATTCCCATCGCTGCCTCTCCTTGTGTTTCAGCTAGAGGGCTGAAATACAAGTTACATAGCGCACCGTCTTTCGGATGAGATGTTTAAGCCGTTCGTCCCGTGCACGGGACGTCCCATGTGCACGTTAAAGAACACAGTACACTCTTCGGAAAAGAGTAGGGGATTGTCTCCCTGTGTACTGTCCAATCACCACCAGAAGGACCCACTGGAAATAAGTCTTCTTCTAGACTTTCGTGGGCTATCCTTGGTGTTTACACCAAATAAATCCAATCCAATCCAATCCAACAACTTGTTCTTACTAAGAGTGTGCTCCCCTTTCAATATACCAAACACAGTGAGTATATTTCAAACTTGCGAATAAATTTACTCCTAAATTTTCAGTGTACACAGCCTTTGATTTCATCACAAGCAAACACATCAAAAGGGTTACTAAAAATATGAAAGCAACATATTTAAATAGCTTACTCGTAGCACCATTACAGCAGAAAAATATAAAAAGACTAAAGAGATTTCAGATATAATAATTCTAAAAGTTTGTTGTCTGAAAAAGACATAATTGGAACTGTGAAATGGTAGAAAATACTGTAATAACAGGAAAACAATACACCCACAACCAATAAATAAATTCAGTGCTTACCAAGGGACAAACGAAAAACTCGAGACTAAGAGTAGAAAAATATAATTCCTACCTGATAAAACTTTTCCTTTTTCTGAATTAAAAACAACAGCTTCAAAATGCACCAAAGTGAAAATGAAATAAAACAATAGACACTCTCTGAAATCCTGATCAAATGAATTGTTGACTCCTTCCTGCCAATGATATTAACCACAAGTCAAACTGGGATAAAGACAATTTGTTGGCGGGATTCCGGCAATCAGACGGACTACTTAGCCAGTTTTCAGAGCAAACATCATCATATGTGAAATGAACTTCTTAAGCTGACCTACTAGTCTCGGAAGATGATCTACTGGTATTATTTGTCTTGGGAAATAAAATGGCTAAAACAATGAAACAGTACCAGTAAATAATATTCTATATAATCCTTTAACATTCATTAATACCAAGACAAAACTATGCGATGCTATAACTACCTGGTCTCATTATAAAGCTAAGAATGTGGAGTTTTTTTGTCATGAAAAAAAAACACTGGGCTAGAATATAAAGTCATGTACTGTCTGGAATTTAGGTTGTGTTTCCTACTGAAAATTGAGATAGAAACGGTTCTCTTACTAATGATTGGTAATTAGAATACAAGGAATAAAAACCTGATGGTCAAGGAAAGCATTCCGTTCCAAAGAACCGTTCTTCGGCATGATAAAAGAGAATCCATTTTTTATTGGCAACCTTCTACTACCACAGGAAATTGTTCTTTGAAAATCTGTTCAGATAAAGGGTGTGTAGAAACACACGCTTGACTGCCAAAACTTCAGTTCAAGTCTTAATTTTCATTGAATTTTTAATAATACTTACTTTGTGGGAATCGGTTGTAGACAATTATGTCACAATCATCACTGCTGTTGTTTAATTACAAAACTGATGATTATTTTATCTATAAAAGATGGAAAAAAATTATTAATCAAAAGTTAAGACATAAAAAAAAAAAATCATAGAAAATAATAATCTATACATAAATCTATATAAAATATTTTTCAAATACTTTTGTATTTATATTCCTGCACTTTATGTTTAAGCTTAACTTTCAAAAACAAAAATAAATGGATTAAATCTTTTTTTTGCCATATTTATAGAGGGTGAGCCTTATAGTGTATCCTAGAAGGTTGGCTGATATTCAGCGGCCATCTATAATAAATGAAATAACATGACGCTTTATCAGCGAAGGAGTAAATTTGTTCTTTAGTTGTGAAAAAAAATGTCCTGCTGAATTGAACCCAGGGTCCTGGGATTAGAAGGCTAGCATCTTAACCACTAGGCTATTCAACTCCATTTTATAATTCTTTACTTTATTGGACATTGTACAATCAACACAAACCTTGATATTATCATCAATTTATGAGTGAGGATTGGTAATTACAATTATGCTAATGATGAAATGATCAAATTAATGAGATTAAAGGGACATGATAGTGTTTTTTCAACAATAAAAATCCATGTGAAAGTGTTTCACATTGGTATTGTGCTGTATTTACCACTTTCATTGAAAATGAAAAACTTCCCCAGGAGTGTAAAAAACTGACCAATCAGAACATGCCAGGAATACGTACAACAAACAAATTGCTGTCTGAAAAAACACACTCCTTACGTACGTTTACGCTGTCGTTTTGTGACACCTTAGCAACAATATCCAAGAGGTAAGACTTAGCTGAAAAGTTCATTATGGTGATCTACTCATGATTATTTGAGTCACTTGTCAATCAAAGAAGACAAGCTATATTAAGTTATACAACTCTCAACACTGAGTATAGAACTTGTACTGTTCAACTACCTCTCCCATAATAATAATTATTTATACAATAATTATATCCACTAATTTATCCTGCAATTTACCAATCTGAGTGTTCATTTAATTGCTGCTAAAGTCATCTTATGTTAGCAAACAAGTACATTAACCTAATAAAAAGATCCCATGAGCTTTTGACTTCCATATCATACTTGTAGTTACGCTCATTTACAAAGTAAATATTACAGTACAATTAACAGAAATAACATAGCAGAGTACTATTAATAGAAAAACCTCAATATCACTGAGTAATCATTAGTTATTTAATAGGTATTCTATAATTACCTATATAATAATATAATAATTATCTCTGTACTTTTGGTAATTAAAGTAAACTGTATAAGTTATTATTATACCATTTCCAATTTTTTGGTTGCCAACAATAGCAAACATGTCATTTCTGATGAATTTCAAATAGAATATGAAATATTTTTTATAATTTTTCTTTTTACAGTGTCCTAGAATAATCCTGAACTATGTAGCCTGCCATTAGGTGTCAGGCATCATCTTGACAGTAAGAGGTAAATAAGTAACTTAAAAGCACAAGGGTTTTTTTTCCATGGTTGCAGAAATAAGAAATTGGAAAATCAAAATGCAGCTACAGTCATATCAAGTTTCAAATTTCATGACAGTCAGATTAAATATCCTTTTGGATTAATTGCGAACTTTATTGGTCTTTAATAGAACTGTATAATATAATTAAGCAATAGAGAAACGACATTGATTAAATGACGGGAATGTATGTCACGTAGACTAGTGTGCATAATATGAAGCATCGAATGTCAAGTTGATATGGAGAAAGTAAATGTTTCCTTAAGGCTAAATCAAGGTTTTTATGTTACAAGGCTGGCAATATTTGTGTCCTTGAATGAGGCAATTCACAGTTTCGTAACAGCTATGGTTTCACACTAGCTAAAGCCCTTGGATATTCATCAGCACTTTTTTCATTATGTGCCAATTCAGCCGGACAGGCCTTAAGAAGCAGAAAATGTGTAAAAAAAGATCAAAATGCATCCTTTAAACGTCAAAAACGCCGAAGCATGGGTTTGCCTCCTGCCCCGCTGGAGTCTCTACACAAACCCCAGGATAGTTAGAGCCCAAAAAGTTTTAGGGAGGGGCCCCAGGCCTCTTCATTACGCAACTGTCACTTCGTCCACGCCAGTGGGTACATATAAGTTTAAAATGTCAAGGCCCTAATTACTACCAGTACTTTCTGTACTTTAGTCGCTCCAGTACATGATGATAACCAATGCAATTTTTCCTGTTTTGTAGCCATTAATATTATGCATATTGCCCCAGCTGCTTGGTCTAAAGACCGTGGTAATTACGTGAAAATCTTTGAATAAAAACTGCCATAATATTATGAATTGATTAATGTTTAAATATAGTTAGTAAAATTTATTACTTTGAAGTAAGACTCTGAATTCATAGTTCTTCACTGCTTTCTCTACCACTTCACTCAGTGATACTAAGTACAGTAGAAACCCTCCTCTGTAAAAGAGAAATCCCTATTATGGGGACACTCCTATTAAGGGATACATGGTCATGTACGTGACCATGTTGCTTTTTTTTTTAGCATTATTTATTTATTTATACTCTAACATTATTTAGGACTTGAATAAGAAATTAATTTACAATGCCATATTTCACATACTTAGCCAGGTTCATGGTGTGTACTCAGCAAGAAGATGGGAATGATTGAGTGGATTGATAATTAAGGCCAATCAGGGCACCTCACCTATTAGTGCATGGAATAAACAAACCACAGTTAACATGCCCAGTCACTAGACTGGTGACCAGGGCAAGCCTGTGAAAAAAAAATTCCAAAAATGTTCAACCCACACTCACCAGAGAAAGAGTCATCGGTCAGCAGATGACTGACTGCTGAATTTGTATAGCGCATACAGTTATTACATTCATTTTTTATATGCTTTCCAGAACGAAAAAGACCAGAATAGATTGTTGAACCGGAAAGCAGTAGAAAAAAGAAACGTTAATAAAGGAAAGTAAAAGTAAAATACCGTACATTAGAACCTCTATTAAAGCAGCACCTTCCAGACCGAAAAAAAAGTATCCCCTTAATAGGAATGTCCCCTGAATAGGAGGTGGCCGTAGTGTTAAAAGATAAATTTTTATCAATTCACAGCAAAAAATGTCCCCTTAATAGTGGTGTCCCCTTAATAGTGGTCCCCTTAATATAGTGGTGTCTCCTGAATACGGGTGTCCCCTTAATAGTGGTGTCCCCTTAATAGTGGTGTCCCCTTAATAGTTGTCCCCTTAATAGTTGTCCCCTTAATATAGTGGTGTCTCCTGAATACGGGTGTCCCCTTAATAGTGGTGTCCCCTTAATAGTGGTGTCCCCTCAATAGTGGTGTCCCCCCTTAATAGTGGTGTCCCCTTAATAGTGGTGTCTCCTTAATAGTGGTGTCCCCTTAATAGTGGTGTCCCCTTAATAGTGGTGTCCTCTAATAGTGGTGTCCCCTTAATAGTGGTGTTCCCTTAATAGTGGTGTCTCCTTAATAGTGGTGTCCTCTTAATAGTGGTGTCGCCTTAATAGTGGTGTCCCCTTAATAGTGGTGTCCCCTTAATAGTGGTGTCCCCCTAATAGTGGTGTCCCCTTAATAGTGGTGTCCCCTTAATAGTGGTGTTCCCTTAATAGTGGTGTCCCCTTAATAGTGGTCCCCTTAATATAGTGGTGTCTCCTGAATACGGGTGTCCCCTTAATAGGGATGTCCAAAAGGAGGGGTTCTACTATACAAAAGATTAGAATGAAGCAGAGTTTTACATATTTAAACTGACAACTATAAGGTTGGCTATCTTCCAGAACCTGAAACACATGGACAGTTAAACATTGACTGCTTTTAAGGATCATTATATGCTATATAACGGTGCTTGTGTGTACACATTAAACACCTTAAATTGACTCTGGAAGAACCCTGCAGGTATACAAACAGAATATTAAGTTGATGCATTGTTTGGCGTTTCTATAGATACTGCCTAATTCCATTGAGGAGGTTTAAGTGTCACACACAGCTGCTTAACAGGAAAGACAAACCATCTATTACAAATTGATACATCAAGTGAAAATTAAGAGTCCAGGAAGCTCTGAATTTCATTTTTTTACATGAAAAAATCCTTAAGCAGAGTCAAAACCATTCTACTTTCAACAACAATAGTAGAGCCTACTAAATGATTCTCTGTTTCACATTTAAAACAAAATTAGCATGCAAGTACATAGTAAAAATTATTATAATCATTAAGTAAACATTTTCCCAATGGTAAAAAATCATGGATGAAAATAATAATAATTCAGTGAAATTCAAATTTTCATTTTTGTTGAATCTATATGTAAATCCGGGATGGCCGTCGGCCAAGTGCCTAAATCATGTATTGTTTTTCAAGCACTTTTAATTAGAATTATTTTACATTTATTCCAGAGGCCATGTTTACCTACAGTACTTGATATTTAATTTAGGCCAGTTTTATCACCAGTGCCATTTTATATAGTTGTCAAGCAAATGATTTCTTTTTAACTATAACATAAAAATGTTTAATCAAATTTCTATTAAATATACAGTACTAAAGTATGTGAGGAGTCTGGTGTGGTGTCTATGAAATCAATTAAAGGTGTGATTAAAGACCCCTCAAATAAAAGACCACTTCTAATGAACGACCACTTTTCTATGGTCCCAAATAAACAACTACCTTTTATCTTTATTATTTTACTTTCGAGATCAAAGCTACAAGAGACCATGAAAACCCCCAAAAGTGGTCTCTAATTGCAGAGACTTGTATGTTAATTATCTCTGTGGGTCGTTTTCACGTACATTCTGGTACTACGTTGTTAGTTACTAAATTTCACAAGTTTGTTTATTGCAGTTGCTACTGTCTACCATCTGCCTGTGACATACGATCATCAATTGTATTCATCAACTGGTAGTTTGGATAGATGAACAATTGAAATCGATACACGTTTTTGATATACAATACTAATCACAGAGTAGGTGGATGTGCATCTTTAGTATGTGAATGCTATCTGTTTCCTTATTTTAATGACAAAAGCAATTAATTAGTGAAAAGATGCCACTAAA